CTCTATCCCCGGCCTCAGCCTCAGTCTACTCACACACAGCAGTGTGTGGACAGGTAGGCAGCCAGAGAAGGGAACCAAACAAACAGGAGAGGGGACACCTATGCATTTTTCAATTCCAGTCAAGGGAATGTACCTCGGCAATTTTTATATCTGTTTCCTGAATGCTTGATTACTTGGACTAGATATCTAAGGACATGTAAAAATCAGAAGTTCAGCCCTGGTTAATTTGGCTTGATGGATAGAGCATCGGCTTGCAGACTGAAGGGTCCTGGGTTAGATTCTTATCAAAGGTCCTGGGTTGAAGGATCAATCCCCAGCAGGGGATGTGCAAGAGGCAGCCAATCAATGATTCTCATCATTGATATTTCTCTCTCTCTCCCTCTCTATTCCTTTGAAATCAATAAAAATAAAAATCAGAAGTTCTAACTCAAAGAGTTCGTGGCCCCACCACAAAGATAGCCAATTTCCAGTCTCACACACAACTTTACAGCACTCACTACTTCATAGGGGGTAGAGGAGTTGTTCTAAGGCATGCCATATACATGTGTGTAATGCACCATGCCATATACATGTGTGTAACGCACCATGCCACCACAGGAAAGGACAGTCCCGTCCGTCACCCTCTTACACACAGCTCTCGGGACAGAGGGGCCTGCTGCAGAAGCCCCTCCCCTCAGCCTTCTGACTTACTGTATCTGTCTGATGACTGTCAGAGGTCCATCAAGTCATGGCTACCAGCCTCTAGTCTACAGCGACTGTCAGAGATGACAGCACTAAGCAGTCACTATTTCCCAGGACCAGGGAGCCAGCCTGAGATTCCTGCTCCATCAACACCAAGAAAAGTTAAAGTACTTTTGAGAACTGAGCAAATTTCCCATATGTGAGGCAACTTTCTCCAGAGTCCTTTCAAATCTCTGCTTCAAGATTTTCAAAACCAGTTGTTAGATTTTGATCAACTCACATATGACTGAAAAAGCTCTTGGGTCATATATTTATAAATGTGTGGACTCTGGACAGGTGATTAAGAGCAACTCCTTCAGTGCACCTGAGAGCCAGGCACTGGGCCTCCTGGTAATGGCTTAACTGCCCTGGAAGCCAGCCCTCTGGCCACTGGGTCCACTAACCACACATGTAGCCAGGATATCACTTCCCTAAATGCTTTATTATGGGTCCCCAACAAATAGGGCCCTGCCCCTCATGTGGCAAACTGTAAAGAGCTGGAAGAGCCGCCCAGTTTTCAAACTCCGGTAATTCAGCCCTAAGCCCTCAGCACAGGGCAGTCAGCCCCTTTACAGCAAGGGGGTCCGGGGGAAGAGACTAAGCGGCCTGGTTGCTAAAATGTGAGGACCACCAACTCCAAAAGATACATCGGCGTGAAACATTATCCCAACCCAGCACCCAGACAGCGGTCCACCCTAATGACGCCGGGGACATCCAGGAGAGAAGCCTGGACAGAGGGTGAGAAAGAGGGATCCCCGCTCACCCCCAGGGCCTCCCTCCATGGGCAGAACAGAGGTGCTAGGCCACGGAGAGCTGTCCAGTGCTGGCCATGGATAGCTCTCAAAAAGTTAGTCCTTTTTCTTTCCAAGCATCACTGTTACCTAAGTACAGCCAAAGAAAAATTCGGTTAAGGCCTTGGCCTAAGCGAGACCCACTTGTCAGGGACCCCCTGCAACAAGATGGGCTGGTTTCTCCTCACAGAACCAGCTTCAGCCACAGCAGCAGGCTCCTGGGTCCCTGAGAATATGGCCGTCTGGCAGTTCGAATGGGAACAAAGCTGTGTGGCGTCTTCGCTGTCTCTACAGCTACGTGAAGTTCTAAAACCAGTGAGAACATAGGGGTCGGGACAATGTGTGAATACTAACGGCTCCATGGTGCGGTGAACAGGGCTCACCAGATGTAATTTCACAGGCTTCACAAACCCAACCCCTCTTCCAGCTGGGAAAGCCAAGGCTCTAAGGAAACATGTTCCGCCCCAGGTCAGAGAGCAACAATGTCCTTGAGTAACAAAATCTCAGCTTCTAAGAACATTCCTCATGTCAAAGCACTTGCTACAAGTCAGCCACCAGAATTTCCATTTTTTGTAACTTCAGGGCTGGGCCGTACATGCTCCACCACCCAGCAGGGGACAACACTCTCGACTCAGCTGGCTCAGCAGCACGGCAGCTACCACCAGATTCTCTCTTTCCCACCAACACATCATTCACTTCACCTGTCAGGGAAGCACCGCGCAGACACTGGTCTCTATAAGCATATTACCCCAGGCAGCTTTCACTCTACTGAAGGAGGGAGAGAGAGAAACATTGATGGGCTGCCTTCCATACACATCCAGACCGGGGTTCAAACCCAAAACCTGGGTATTGCTCTGACCAGGAATGGAACCTGCCATCTTCTGGTGTACGGATGACGCTCCAACTGAACCACCAGCCAAGGAAGGAGTGTTCACTTCAAATAAGTCACATGCCAGTGTCCCCGAGGGCAAGGTCCCTGGGCCAGTGGGGGGGAATGGTGTTGCCCTGGAATGAGAGTGCACACTGGCCAAGCCTTAGAGCCGAGGGAGAGTAATCCTCTGTGGAAGCAGGACAGACAAGGTGTAAAGGAGGGAGAGACCATCTCTGGGCCTTGGTATTTCAGTGTTACCCTACGGGGGGTTTTGGCAAGCTCAGTCTTGGTAGTCTCCCTGCCACCCAGACTGACCCAGGAAGGGAGGGTCCTGGGAGGGCGTATGCAGGCTTCCTTCACTCATTCCAACTGCCCACAGTCTGTCATTTCACTTGGCACCTATGTGTGTGGCTTTAACAACCCTGAGACTCCTAATATCTCCCCAAGTTTTGTATCACAGTTGTAACAAGAATAATCTATCAGCCAAGCAAGAATCGTATTTTTAAGTTATATCTTTTTATGATGAAAGACTTAAATGAAAAGGAAACATCCAATAAGAGAATTTAGTATTTTTTGACCAATTATGTGATGTAACTAGAATATTCACATCTGTCACTTTGGTTTACAGAATTAAATAGTACTGTTTAAAAGAGGACACTGTTTTGGGGCCAATGGGAGAAGTTTCAACTCTACTTTGCTTCTACTGTTATTAAAATGGAGTGACTTAATTAATCATAGTTTCCTATCAGAATATCAACTGGGAAGGGGGATATGAAGAGATGTAAACATTTTATTTCCTAGAAAACATCTGGCTCCTTTAAAGCACAGCTCTCAGCATGTGTCACCCAAATGTCGCTATGAGCTGTCCTGTGCTCTCACACACGGGACTAATGCAAAGCCTCACAAAACCTCAGGCAAATTTTTACTACATTGTTTGTCTACCTGTCACATGAAGACATCCCTCACACTGACATAGAACAAAAGATGCAAGTGAGTCTAAGGTCCCTGTCCCTACACTAGGAATCACACCAAGGGGATCCGTGAATCCAAACACCACGCCTTTCATAGCCTCTGCAAGCCAGGCCCGGTGCTGCCTCACAAACTTCATGGACAAGCTCACAGCAGGTCTGGATAGCGAAAGCACTGCATAGGCATTGTCCTTGCTGAAACAAGGCAAGTGCTGGAGCCAGCAGGGCCACTGAAAGGGCCTTCAGGACAGGTAAACAGCCTCCTGACAGCTTACATCACCTACCACAACCCGAATCCCCTTCTGTAAATGGCCCTAACAACTAGCCGTACTTTCTACTAAAAGGTCAAAATACACATAACAATTAAAACAGAGCCACCAATAAAACACCCCTACAAACTCAGAAACAAACACAACACACTCAGGTAATTTCCGCCTCATGGCCTTTCCCCCTGGCATGCTGCCCCACCACCACCCACAGCACTGGTCCTGGTGGCCGGGTCCTTCCCAGCCCAAGCCCCATCAAAACAGATGCCTGCCAAGCTCTGCCCCCAGGACCAGCTCACCTGTGGTGACAGGAAGCCTTTCCTTCTTAACTCGCTGGAATCCTTTCTCAGGGTGACCTGTAGCTCTTTGCAGCAAGCACGAGGGGACATGAGGTGCTGTTTCTACTACTCCTGCCACCTCTGCAGCTGCTACACCAGCACAGCTACTACACAGCAAGGGAGGAGCTCTCGGGAGCGCACTCAGGCCCGCAGGCAGGCGAGGCGGAGCGGACAGAACAGAAAGCAGCGCCACAAGTGTAAAGTTTCTCTCGGCCTAAGAATCCCAGGGCGAAGCAGCGGGCGAGTCAGACTGTGGGGCCCTTGCACTGTCACACCCGAAGGACACGAATGGATGGCGAATTGACAGGAAACTGAGAGTGGAGGACACAGGCTGGCTGGCTGTACCTCCGAAAAACCCACTGCCTGGAGAGCACGTACCCACTGCAGGTAATAACCTAAGGAACCGAGATCTTTTCAGTGACACGCTGTGCTCAACCAGGAAAGAGCTGAAATATTCCTGCAGCCCAGGAAGGGTCTGTGCCCAGGACCTGTCACCCGGCTGCTAGAAGGGAAGCAGAAGCTCTCTATGCAGACCTGCCCAGCCTCAAGGAGGGGCTCACTCTGCCTGACCCACCCTCAGGGTACACATCACAGCCCGACACCAAAGGAGCAGGAAAGTTCAGGGAGAACAGAGGCCAGAAACAGGAGGGGGAAACGCCAAGCGTGGAAAAATCACGCAACCAGGCTATGCCTCCACACCCTGTGTAACCCAGTGAGGTGTGCCTGGGAGCCCCTGCTATTGCTCTCCACAGAGGAGATACCAAGCAAGGGCACCCAGGGCCAGAGAGGAACTGTGACCACTGGCACAACAACTTTGCAACGCAAAGACCTGAGCTGAGGCCAAGGCTGCACAAGGTAACAGATCCCGGCTGTCCCATCACTTTGGGTGTGCAAGAACTCACACTCCCAGCACCTGGGCTGAGGTGCACCTGAGCTTGCTTGCAGGCCCGTGCAAGACCCATGACCTTAAGTCCTCCAGTCCTACAACTTCCTGGACTCTCTACTAGGACAGCAAAGACCCTCCCCCCCCCACAGTGGTCACTCACCTGGGGGCAGCTGGAAGTTCTGGATGTTCGTTGGGTTCTGGGGCGGCTGTGGCAGACGTGGGGCCAGGACTGTGGGCGTCAGCGTGGCCCGGATACCGCTGGTAGTGACTGAGGGCGTCCTAGGCAGACTCTGGGTGACCGCGCTGGCAGGGCCCTTGGGCAGCCCGGTAGGGGTTCCGGGGGCGGGAGGCGGGAGGCCAGTGGCGGTGGACAGCGCCCCTTGCATAGTTGGCCCGAGGATCATGCCGGCCCCCGCGCCGGCCGGGCAGCTGGCCGCCAGGGTCTGTGGTGGCGGGGGCGCCGGCTGCACCGCGGTCTTGGGTGAGTCCGCCTTGGCCACCTGCACGGGCGCCGCGGCGGGCCCGGGCTGACTGTTGGCGGCTTGCACGGGGGAGGGCGCGGGGGAGGGCGCGGGACCCGGGGCAGGCGCGGGGGCGGGAGCGGGGGCGGGGGCCGGGACCGGGGCAGGAGCAGGGACTGGGACGGGCGCGGGCGCAGCGCTGGCCCCGTTCTGCGCGGCCACCGGGGGTCCCGCCGGGTGGCCGGCCGGCCGGGCCAGGGTGGCGGCGGCTGGCGGCGGCGGAGCGACGGCGGACGCGGGGAGCGCGGGGGGCGCGGGGAGCGCGGGGGGCGCGGGGGGCGCGGGGGTTGCGGCGGGGGTAGCGGGGGGCGAGGGGGCGCGGGGAACGGGCGCGGCGGGGGCGCCGCGGAAGGGCGGTGTCTGGATGACAGTGGCGGCGGCGGGCTTGGGCGGCGGCGCGGGCGGGGGCCCGTTGTGCAGCAGGCTGACAGCAGGTGCGGCGGCGGCGGCGCGGAGTGAGTTCCCCAGCGCGGCGCTCCCATTCAAAGTTTGCGCGGCGCCGGGGCCGCCGGGCGGGCCGTTGCGGGCGGCGGGCTTGGCGGCTGGCGCGGCCCCGGGCCCGCCGCAGGCCCCGGTTCCGGGCCCCGGCGGCGCTCCGGCCTCGAGTGTGCTCAGCTTGGCGGCGGGCCCTGCGGGGACAAGCGGCGGCGCGATGAAGAAGCGGGCCCGGCGGCTTCCGCCCGCCCCAGGCCGCGCCGCGCCGCGCTCTACCTGCGGGGGGCGGCTCCGGCGCCGCGGCGGGCGCGCCCTCGGCCGCTCCGGCTCCGGTGTGGTTCCCGAGCGCGGCGGCGGGCGCGCGGGGCGCGAGGTGATGGTGGTGGGCCGCGCTGGCCGCCAGCTGCGACTCGAGCGAGCCCACCAGGTCGCTCACCACTTTCTCGTCCACCTCGCTGTTGAAGAAGACCTCGTCCAGCAGATCCGAGCCCGCCGCCATCTTTCCTCCTCGGCCCGCCGCCGCCGCCGCTCGGCCGGCGCTGGGCGGGGAGGCGGCTCCGTGCGGGCGGGCAGGCGGGCAGGCGGGCAGCCGGCGGGGGCGGGCGGGGGGCGGCGCGCGCCGGGCGGGGCGGGGGCGGCGGCCGGGCGGGGGGCGCGGGAGGCCGGCGCTTGGGGGGGAGGGGGCAGGGCCGCGCTGGTGCACTGCGCAGGCGCGGCGGCGCGCCCGCCCCCGCCCGCCGCCCGGCGCCTCCCCATTGGCCGCGGTGCCCCCCGCCCGCCGCCTAGCACCTCGGGATTGGTCGCTGCGCTCGCTTAAAAGGCGCAGCCAATGGCTGCGAGCGGTAGAGGCAGGGGCGCGGGTGGGCTCCCGGGTAGGTTGCAGTCGGTGGGCGCCTGCGGGCTGGGGACCTGCGGGGTGTAAGGGTGCGGACCGCCGGGCAGGCCGGGTCGGACAGCAGCGGGACCGCGGGGGGCGGGCTCTCTCTTTGTCTGTGGTCGCTCCAAAATGGCTGCGGCGGGAGCGGACGGGGCGCCGAGCCTGTGTGAGAGCGGGGACGCTTTACTCCGCGGCCCCGAAGGCCTTCGCCACGGAGCCCCTGGGCCCGGGAAGGACGCGCGCGGGCCCGGGCAGGGTGACGCCCGTTGCCGGCGCCATTGCTCGGAGCGGGGGGAGGAGGGGGAGGGCGTGGGTCTGCCCTCCGGCCCGGCAGGGTGTCCGCGACCGGGCTCCGCGCCGCACGTTTCCGGGGCGCAGCGGGAGGACTGTGCCCGAGCCCGACCCCCGCGGCTTCCCCGGTGAGACTGCCCTGTCCCCGGCCGCTCGGTCTCCAGCAAGTCATTGGAAGCTAGCCGCGCCGCGGGGACCGCGCTCCGGGGGCAGCGGACCCCCTGGAGGCCCTTTCCGCCCCTTGTTTCCTGTAAGTCATCTGAAATCGTGTTTACGAACACTATAAAATGTCTCGGATAAAGTTAGCTCAGTGCGGTTTTTGGGGGGTTCACCAGTGGTTTCCTCTGTTTGGGGGAAAGGCAGTGGGAGGCACAGGGTCGGGCCCCGCGGCAGGACTGGCCACAGGGACACCCACCTCAGCTGTGGGCAGCTGATGCCCCCTCCAGCCGCCCTGCTTCTCACGAACCGGGGTGCGGGCTGACTCCTGGGCGCCGGGGCCCGGAGTGTCTACTCTCGTCCCAGCCTCTAGACCAGGAGCCATGGGGGCTGGAGCCCAGGAAGGTGCCTCCCCGGGAGAGTGTCGGGGCGAATCCGCAAATGTATAACCGGAACTTTGCGCCTGAACTTTAGCAGCCAAGAGGCCGGAGAGAGGAACCCTGGGATGGGGACTGACCCTAGCCTCCTTGAGCACAGCGCGGGCCCGTGGCCTGGTTTTCAAACAAGAGCAGACATGTGGGATTGTGTGTAAGATCTTAAATGCTGACAGCTGATTAGAAAATGTTAGAGTGAGCTGAGCAAATGCGTCAGCAAGACGACTTCAGCCCGGTGTAGACATCTCTGGTGGGAAACAAAGGTCTACATGTGCCCTCAAAACAGGAGTCAGGTTGGAAAAGCAAACAGCAGCTACAAAGCTTCCAGACTCGGCCGGGCAGGTCCACGTGACTGCGGGAGAGGGGCCCATTTTGCTGCTGAGATCATTAGTAAAGGTCCACCGTGCCCACAGCAGGCTGCTCCTGTATCCCCACAGAGCGGTGGCCTCTCAGGTCCCCCCAAAGCCCTCCAAGATCCTCCTCCAACCCAATACAGCCCCAAGGCCTCCTCCGCAGGCTAGACGCTGTCCTTGGGTGCCTGCCAGGGCCCTCCCCTCTGCAGCAGGCCTCTTCCCGCATTGGTGCTGACATCACCCCCCAGCGTCCTCTGGGGCACCCTCCGATACAGCAGGAAGTGTGGGAGGTCGAATCTGTGCCCTGCCCCCACCATCCCAGATCCCCGGAAAAGGTGGGAGCTGCAGACGAGCAGGTCTGGGCTCTCCAAGGCTCTGCCCACCTGCAGAGTGAGCCACTTGGCTCCTCCCCTGCCCCTAACTGAGCCGGGAGGGAGACCGGCCAGTCAATCTTGGTCATCCCCGAAACTAAGGGCATTTTCTTCGAATATCTGTGTGGTTTCATTTGTTGCCATAAACAGTTAAGACTTCTATAGCTTGGAAGATCACACCTGAACATGAAACAGGGGGATGAAAACTAGTGTAAATATACTAGTAAACACCAGTTTTAAATATGGAGGGAAATGTTTGCTGTGAGAATGGCAGAACCCCAAACAGTACCCTCTCCCTCGCCACCTGCCACACTGCAGATGGGTAAGGCCATGGGCAAAAAGCAGGCTCCCTTGCTGGCAGCTTTGTGGGCCGTTAAGTGTATTGTCTTCAATAAAATAGAAAAAGCAACAGACATACTCATTTAATATAAGAACAAATAACCAAATCAATCATTTCTGCCTTGCTCTGCTGTACAAAAGGTACAAAGTGTTTGCTGTATTCCCTGTGCTTTTGTTGTCTGCCTGAAGTACATAACAAAATAGCTGTTTAATAAAGGCTGGCAGCCCTAGCTAGTTTGGCTCAATGGATACATCGTCCACCTGTGGACTGAAAGGTCCCAGGTTTGATTCCAGTCAAGGGCATATTCCCAGGTTGCAGGCTTGATCCCCAGTGTTAGGTGCATAGAAGGCAGCTGATCAATGATTCTCTCTCATCATTGTGTTTCTATCTTTCCCTTTCCCATCCTCTCTGAGATTAATAAAGATATTTTAAAAAATAATAATAAAGGCTGGCAGCCGTGGGGGCCCAGTTCCTGGATTCCTATTCATCTGGGTGACTCCCCAACCCCACCCAGCAAAGCTTGGTCAAGTACATCCACCTCCCAGGGATAAGCTCATGAACATAGAACTAATGTAAACACCCACACATTCATTCCTTAGGGCTTTGGGGACATTATCACAGACCTGGGGACTGCCAGACATTCTAGTCGCATGGCTTTCCTCTTTCTGCCTCTCCTTTTATTAGGACATCAGTCATTGGATTTAAGGTTCATCCTACACCCAAAATTATTTCCTATCAAACTTCTTAACTTCTGTGCAAAGACCCTCTTCCTAAATAATGTCGCATGTGAGGTTCTGGGTGGACATGAATTTGGGGGGAACAGTATTCAACCAGTTATACCAGATGACCAGCTTGTCCAGTGGAGAGCAGACTATCAGATCAGAAGGCACTCGTTAGCCTGATGGCCCTTTGCCCCGGACATGGCTGTAAGAGGCTGGAGAAGCCTGAGACTTGATGCGTCTGGAGAAGAGACAGTCCTTTTCTGTTCTGCCCTGCCAAGAAAGTGACCACCACTAGTTATCAGTAATAACTAGACTGATGTGCGGAGCTCTGCCTCTGAGCAAGTGAAGACTATGTTCAAGAAGAGGGAACCAAAGCTTGAGAAGGTCAATCAATGGTCCAAGGTGTCTCTTCTGGGGCGGGGCTGGGGGAGCAAGTGGGGGGACACACAAACCTGGGACTTAGACTTAAAGCTGGCAGACAAACAGCCTCTGGAACAGCAGGACCCCACTGGTCAGATGTTAGCTCCTAAATTAGAGTCGGGCCTGCTGCAGACAGACTGACCCAGATCTCCAGGATGGGGCTGGCTGTCTGCAACTCTCAAAATGACTCACAACAGCCTCTGGGCTGACTCCCACAAAGGGCTAACTATAGCCCTGGTACATGGTTTTACTAGTTCTGCTCAAGTGGGAGCTTCTCTGACCTGGCACCACTGACAGGCCAGCTTCCTCATGCCGTTCCTGACCACCCCAAGTCAAGCCTGGAGCAGCTGTGCTCTCAGGTGAGCCCTGGTGGCATGCCAAGTCCCCCTTGCCTGGATAGGCATGGCACTGCCAGGCTCCACTTTCTAAGCACCGTGTCCATCTAGTGGTTTCTTACAATTGCTTGTTGCTATGGTTACTGCCTTCCCTAAATCGCCCCTCACCCAGTTCCAGAATGAGTTTATAAAGCTGAAGCCCCAGTCCCTGAATACTTTTAGGTTCCCTGCAAGTTCCCTGGGCAAGGCAACAAGCCATGGGTTACTCATTGGCAACGTCGGTATAGTGAACATTGATCGTTCAGACAGGCTATCCAAATCTAAAACATTAGGCACTGACCATTGAATGGCAATTCAGAAGTAAAAGATTAAACTTTTAAAATGATACCACTTAAAATAGCATCACAAAACCAAATGCCACCCAGCTGGTGTGGCTCAGTGGTTGAGCATTGACCAATGAACCAGGAGGTCACAGTTCAACTCATGCTCAGGGCACATACCAGGATTGTGGGCTTGATCCCCAGTAGGGGGCCTGCAGGCATCCAATCAATGTTTCTCATCACTGATATTTCTATCCCTTCCTCTCTCTGAAATCAACAAAAACATTTTTTTAAAAAATCCCTAGCTGGTTTGGCTCAGTAGATAGTCAGCCTACGGACTGAAGGGTCCCAGGTTTAATTCTAGCCAAGAGCACATGCCCAGTTTGCGGGCTCAATCCCCAGTAAGAGGCATGCTGCAGGCAGCCACTCAATGTTTCTCTCATCATTAATGTTTCTCTCTCCCTCTTCCTTCCTCTCTGAAATTAATAAAAAATATATTTAAAACAACAACAAATGCCTTGGTATAAAACAAACAAAAAAAGCCAAAGACAGCCCTAGGCAGTTTGGCTCAGTGGATAGAGCATCAGCCTACGAACCAAAGGGTCCCGATTTCGATTCCGGCAAGGGCACATATGACTGCAGGCTCCCAGTTCTGATTGGGGCATACAAGAGGCAACCAATCTCCTCACATTGATGTTTCTCTGTCTTTCCCTCTGTTTCTCTCTCTCTCTCTCTCTCTCTCTCTCTCTCTCTCTCTCTCTCTCTCTCTCTCTCTCTCTGAAAATCAATGGGAAAATATCCTTGAGTGAGGATTTAAAAAACAAAAAAAAAAACAAAAAAGCCAAAGACTTAAAGACACAAAATCACAAAACATGGTTGA